TTCTAACAACCTTGGACATTTGGAAAAACTGTAAAGTATGGTTGTACAATGCAAGAGAATGGAATTAGCCAGTGGTTTTTATTTTTACAATGATAAATTATAATTTCCATATAGGTTCTAATTTAGAGTTATCATATCCAGTTGTTTTTCCTTATATTAAAAATAAATTCAAACATTTTTTAGTAAACCAGAATTGTTTTATTGAACTAACAGCATCAGTTATTATGTCTACATGTCAACTTTGTTTAAGATTTAAAATTAATTTTGTGTTGTATACTTGAAATATTTCCTAGGATTGACTTTTTTTTGGGGGGGGAGGGGGAGTGACTTAGTATAATGGCTTTGCTATTTGTAATAAAATATGAATGGTGTTGACATTTCCTTTTGAGTGGCCAGATTATATATTAGAGGCCCAGTGCATGAATTTGTGCATGGGTGGGTCGGTTCAGCTAGCCTGGCTAAGGGGAGGGGACATGACGGGTGATTGGCTGGCCTATCTGCTGGTTGAATTCATGATGGAGGGGACAATTTGCATCTTAGCCTTTTATTATATAGGATATAATAATCTGGCCACTTACTATATATTAGATGTTGATAGATATATTTTAATTTTTAGTTATTTTTTGCGCTGTTGTTTGCCACCAATTGCCATGTGTACTTTCATAATGAAAGAACTTTCCATGTTAGTCTTGTTGGTATTGGAAGACTTAATAATATTTTAATTTATTTCTATAGATCCTATGGCCTTTATGTTTCCATAGTGTAATTAAGATCCAATTGACATAGCTGAGATATTCTATGTGACAAATATTGGCAACTTTTTGCCAGTGATAGAGGTTATCACTGGCAAAGTTTTCTTCTCTAACTTTATTGATATTTATGGGAGAAGTTAAGGTAAATAGTGATTATAATATGAAGTAAAAATTATTGTCAAAATCGTGGTACACAATACTGCTATTGAGAGAGCATTAAAGATGGAAATCAATAGCACCTACAGAAGAAAGATAACATTTTTAAGGATTGGCTATGCCTCTGGTTGACTAGAAAAATTATTTGTACATGTGGGAAAAAGTGGATTACAAAGCTGGGAAAGTATACTGGGATTACATTGTGGAAGATGTAAATGACAGATCATACATCTGATTATTTATGAATGTTAGAAATTTAATTTTTTTAAAATCAAGATTTTCTATTCAATAACAATGAAAAAATAAAATTTCTAAGGTAAGATTTATCTATTCCACATGCTCATTCATACTAAACTAATAACTATGTTCATTTGAATTAAATATTTATTTAACCATTTTGATGAGTGACAAAATCCTCTTTATACTTTTATTTAGAAAGTGTTTCTGAAATGAAATTGGTGTGTGTTTCCAAGGCTAATGTAAATTCAAAAGCATATTATGTAATAAGTCTAAGAAGCATAACTGTACTTTTCATACTTCCACTCAATACTAAAGATGTAGTCTAGCATATATTGCTATCTAATGAATTACAATTGAAATTGTAAAATATCAGTGTGAATTGGAAGTTTTTCTTTACTGATATCTGAAAATATATATATTTAAAAATTCCATTCCATATTCATAAGTAAAACAGAAATACTACTTACGGCTATGGTTATTATTTTATTAGAAATTATCACCAATGGTAATGTCTACTAAAAAATATATCTTTATTTTTTTATTTTAAAAAAGTAGTTTTAAACATTTAAATATAGGTGTTAAAATTAATTTTTGTGATTCTTACATAAATATGTACTTAAATTTTACAAATTATATGTACTGTTGCTATTTTCCTAGAACTTATAAAAAGATGTTCATGACATGGTATTGTGTTTATAATTAAACACCTAATTACATATTTACATCAATTACATAATTAGCTATAATTACTAAGTATACAATTAGGCAATAATCAACTGAAAATTTCCTTTACAAATCATGAAAATTCACATGCAAAAAGCCTTCCAACATCACAGAATATTAAATTTATATGATCAACAAAATAAAAATTGATGTTAAGTGATATAACAGTTTTAAATTATAAAGTCTAAATAGTAAATATACCTCTACATGAACACACACAATAACTTGGGAGCTGTTCGTTGAAAGGAAGAGGGTCATCTTGAATGTCTTTATCATTATCTGAATGTGGTGAATTAATTAAGTGGATAAGGCTTAAATTCTTTCATAACTCTGTCTTTTTTCTATATTGCTTCAATATATTGTGGCTGTATTGACCAGTCTGCCTCTTTCACATGCTACACAGATTAATCTTACTAATTAACCAAGATGGCTGTACTGTAGGGTCACACATTTTGGCATTTTTTTTTCTGAATACAATATATTAATAATGTTCAGACAAAACAAATCTCCAATCCCATGTTAACTGAACCACTGGGAAATTGTGTATCTAGACTTCATAGGGCATGTTCAAGAAGCAACCAATCTCTCCCTTCCATTCTCAAAAATCACTGGAAACAATACTCTACAGTGAGAATTAACAAGAGCAACAGCAAAACAAAGATCAATAGAAGGATCTGAGAGGGAGATATTGACTATACAAAGAAATAGTAATCAAAAGTCTAAGATTTATCTTACTAAAAAAATAACAGTAGATATAGAAAGTGGTCTTGAAATTCAATTTAGAATATGTTGAGTTTTAGGTGTCTGTGAGACATCAGAATGAACCTGTTGTAGTAAAAAAAAAAATGGTATATGTATCTGAAACTATAGGGAGAATCCTGAAATAGGAATACAGACTTGATAGTGATTGGGGGAGTAAGGGCTTGTAGTAGAAATTCATTGGCAAGTCTAAAATCACCTAGGTGAATTTTATAGTGAGATTAACTATAAAATAAATAGAATATCACAAAAGTAGAAGGAATAGGATTTAAAAATTATCTGAGTCAACTAGTTCTCATATAACATTCTCTTTCAATTGTGCTTTATAACTAAATATATTTTTCTAGGCATTATATCCAGTTAACATAAATTATCTATACTAATAAAAGGTTAATGTGCTAATTAGATAAAATATCTTCCAGACATGGCTTCTGGTCAAAGCCACAGTGGCAGGGGCCGAGGCAGAGGTGGTTAGGGTGATTACGCCAGCAGGGGAGAGCAGTTAGGGGGATAACACTGGCAGGGGAGGGCAGTTAGGGGCAATCAGGCGGCAGGGGAGAACAGTTAAGGGGTGATCAGGCGAGCAGGGAAGAGCAATTAGGGGATTCAAGCCAACAGGGAAGAGCTATTAGGGGTGGTCAGGCTGGCAGGGGAGGGCAATTGAGGGCAATTGGGCCAGAGGGGAGCAGTTAGGTGTCTTTTAAGCTGACAAAGAAGTGGTTAGGGGGTGATCATGCTGGCAGACAGAGGCAGTTAGGGGCCATCAGGCAGGCAGGCAGGTGAGTGGTTAGGAGCCAGCAGTCCCAGATTGCAAGAGGGATCCCTATAGGAACCTGCCTAAACTGCCAGTCAGATATTCCTTGAGGGGTCCCAGATTGGAAAGAGTGCAGGCCAAGCTTAGGGACATTCCCCTCTGTGGACAAATTCCATGCACTGGGCCTCTAGTAACTCTATAATACAGTTATAACTTGTTTTAAATGTAAGTTCTAAAAAAAACAAAACACACACACACATTGACTGTATAATTGTGTGGGGTGTATATATATTTGTGGAGAAAAAAAATACAACATATTTTTTACAGAAAAATTAAGAGAGATGATTGTTGCTTATACCACAGATGAAAATGCTAAAGATGTGACTGAGTTAAGAGTGAATTTTGAGGCCAAACCGGTTTGGCTTAATGGATAGAACATCAGCCCGCGGACTGAAAGGCCCCAGGTTGGATTTTGGTCAAGGGCATGTACGTTGGTTGCGGACACATCCCCAGTAGGAGGTGTACAGGAGGCAGCTGGTCAATATTTCTCTCTCATTGATGTTTCTCTGTATCTCTTTCCCTTCCTCTCTATAAAAAAATCAATAAAGTATATTAAAAAAAAAAAAGAGTGGATTTTGACAGTGAATGAAAGAACATATGCCAAATTGTATGCACACAGAAGGAGACATTCATTTGATAAGTTTGGAAACCTCTGTGTACCTGCCTATGTATGAGCAAACTTGTGTTTTTTTGTTTTGTTTTTTGAAAATAAACAAGTACGGCCTTTATGTATTGTCACTAAGTGTTCTGATCCTTTTGAAGAATATATACAAGTGCTGTCAGTTTTTGAATTTAAATATTACTGAAGGAAAATAAAAGAATACATGATTTCATACAGATGTCATCTAGAAAAAAACTAATATTTTGAAAATTGCTATACCAAATCTGATGTCATTGAGATACAAGTTTATCATTTTCACAATTCAATTACTTATGAGAGTAACTCTTGCTATTTTGAGAAGATGCATAGACTTTGGAAGGTAAATAATTCCCAAGAAACCTATTTGAATTGAGCAGGAGGGTGTGTTTTTTATTTATTTATTTATTTATTTATTTATTTATTTATTTATTTATGTGCGGGGGGGTTTTTTATTGTTGTTCTTTGTGAATTATGTTTACTCTTTAAATAATTTCAGTCTTTTTTTCATGATTTTCTTTCTAATCAATAGTTTATACGGTATTTCTGGTCATTTGCCTTAATTGAGTCTATTTGCAATTTTGCAGATTTATCTGGGACTCCTAGACCTTGAACTTTTGAACATAAATAATAATAACAAAAACAATAATAATATAGCTACAGTCACGAATATTTATTTATTCAGTTTTAGATTTATATTCTGTCATTGCTTCATATTCACAAAATATTTATGTATATAAATTAAATTATACATAACTTCATTATTTTTGTTCTTCCAATACTTTCAAAGTTGGCATTTTCCTTTGAAGAACATAATGTTCAAAATTCTGCTTATAATATGATTTAGAACAATATAATGCCATGATTCATTCATTTTGATTACTATTAAGTTTTTTAATGCTCTTTTTCACATTTTCAGGGTGAAACAAAGATCTTAAAATTAAAGAATCTTCGACCTCAGGACTATGCTAATTATAGCTGCATTGCGTCAGTGAGGAATGTATGTAATATTCCTGATAAGATGGTATCATTTAGACTTTCCAATAAAACAGGTAAGGAAGTATCTCTGAAAGTTTTATGTTTATTATTCAAAATGAATGCTTAATTGTTCTTTAACTTTATTATAGTGCAAATATTTCTATAATATATGTTTTAACAAATCATCTTTTTTATTTCTCAGAAAATTCTGTGATATCAGAAAATCTTTTGGTAAATGGGTACCATACAATTGAATTGCAATGTGCTTCCATGTAATGATTGTTTATATAGCATACACAATTATTTATCCTTATTGTTGAATTTATAAATGTCACAAGATAGCCTATATTCTGTTCAAAATTCATTTCTGAGAAGTACTAGATTCTTTATTTAAAAATGTGTGATCTATGTGTGATTAAGAACCTCTGTTTTTAATCTATTTCACATCAAGAAAGTTAATTGGTAATTTGAGTAGATGCTTTTAAATAGTATTTTTCTATAAAATGTCAAAACATTAGCAATAAGTTAGTCTGCATTTAATAATCTAAGTCTCAGAATAAATGCAAGCATCAAGAAATTGCCAAATGAAAGAGCAAAGAGAGAGCATATGGATGAACAATCTTTTATGATTATGTATAAACAATCAACTTACTAAATTAGAATTTCATCTGATTTGAACAACTTTCAGTGCAATTAAGATAAAATTTTACCTTATACTGAGATGAAAGTTAATCACTTTTTCCATTAACAAAAACTTGGGGAAGTATGGGCCGTTATGCCTGGCTGTAGTTCCTGGTTCTGCCACGTAATAGTTCTTGGATCTTGTTGAACAAGTCAAGTCGCCTTCTTTTCCTCAGCTTCCTCATAAACGCATAAAGTTGTAAAAAGAAATTAATGAGTTAATATTTATAAGGCATGTGGGACACACTTTATTAGTTCTTCCAACACAGAGCTAGTCAGCAGCTCTATTCAGCTAGAAAAGATTAAACCTGGGATTTTATTGAAAGATGAAAAAATGCATACTCATATATTGATTCATCAATATGTGTTCCAAATGAGTTAATCTTTTGAAAAATTCATTCTTTTATTTATTCATGTACTTATAAATCAGTAACATATTGGGTGTTTATTATAGGTCAGTAATGATAGGCATATACATTGACTAAAATATAAACTGCCACCAAAATAGAGAAATACTCTATTAAATAACAGATAAAAGTTATTAGAAGAAAGTGAAAGAAGGATGTAAGAAAAAAATTAAACTGTATCAAGATGGATAAGAAGAACATGACAGAAACTATATTTCAGACAAAATAGAAATATAAAATCTTAGTGATCCTAAGATTTTTAAATCTTAAAAATATAATTTCATTTGAAACAGAATAAATAGGATATTCAGAAATAAAAATCAGTTATTAACACATGAAAACTTGGTGTTATTATATTGTTCTTTTGATATAAAATATTTTGTGAATTATGGTGAAAATTTGTATCATAACTAGTTTTATATCCTTAATTGGTTGTTTGAGAATGAAACAAATCAATATATACACAAATTACTTAAATACTAACATGAACAATAAAAGTATATGTAAAATGTTTTTGGTACATAAATGTATGGTTTTATTGGTTCCCAATGTCCCACAGGTAATGCGTGGGAACAAGATTGAACTTAATATTTGAAGAGTAGTAGGATGCTAGCTCAAAAGGCAGAGCTTGCCTGTCTGTCCAACAGCATAGGGCACTCTCAGCTTCTCTTTCATTCTTTATTTTTTAGGCTAAAGTATTTTATATGTAGGCTAAGCAAACAAAATAGCCTATTATTCACTTCTGTAAATTATCTCAAAAATTTAGATTGATGTTCATGACAAAATGAGCGTCAGAATGATGGTAAATAATTGGGTTTAAAAATATAAGCTAGTACCTTGTTTGACTCTTTAGTACTCTAGCAGGCATGTCATGTGCCTGGTGCTTTACATATTCAAACCAGATGTGCCTCAGCACTTTTACTATCTGGCTGTGCTCGAAGCTGTGATAGTTCATGCATTTCAAATAAGTAAAATCATTGAGGTAACAAAGTACACCAGGAATAAATTAAACTTTCAGCATCTTCATGTAAACAAACCTATAAACTGACAAATACGTACATACAGCCTAGTTCATTGCTTTTCTAACATTGTAAGGAGATCATAAGTCATCATTGCTATACTCATTGTTGAGAGTCAGTTGCTCTTTACAATTTTTATTCTTATGAATTTCTAAATGACAAGGATAAAATTCCCATGTTTTTAAATTTTGATGTGCAAAATGTAAGGAAAATGTATAACTTACTGAGGGGAGAATAGTTGATTATAAATTTTGTTTCATTAATCTGTTAATATGTTAATGAAAGTACAACTTTGGAAATAATTTTGTAATGGAGGTCAGATATTAGAATAATAAATAGAATTGGGGACACACTATTTCATTTTAACATATCTATAGTCAATTAACTTTTTAATTGCAATAATTTTATTACTGACTAGATGCACAGTGCACAAAATTTGTGCACGGGATGTGTGTCCCTCAGCCCAGCCTCCACTCTCTCCAATCTGGGACCCCTCGATTGGGCCTAAACAGGCAGTTGGACAACCCTCTTACAATCTAGAACTGCTGGCTCCCAACAGCTTGCCTGCCTGCCTTCCTGATTGCCCCTAACCGCTTCTGCCTGCCAGCCTGATCACCCCATAACCACTGCCCTGCCAGCCTGATTGATGCCTAACTGCTCCCCTTCCAACCTGCTTATCCCTAACTTCACTCCCCTACAGCCCCGGTCGCCCATAACTTCCCTCCCCTGCGAGCCTGCTCACCCCTGACCTCCCCTGCAGGCTTGATCTTCCCCACTGCCCTCCTTTGCAGGCCTGGTTCCTCACAGCTGGCTTCCCCTGCTGGCCATCTTGTGGCAGCCATCTTGTGTCCCCAGGGGGACAGTCATCTTTGACCACATGGGGGCAGCCATCTTGTGTGTTGGTGTGATGATCAATTTGTATATTATTATTTTATTAGATAGGATATGCCCAATGCCCTAATTACATGGCATATAAAGATGGAAACAATGTGCTGTGTGGATAAGGATTTCTAAAAGTTTTGTAGCTGAACAGTTACAAAATGGAGTGCAATGCCCTTGGCTCATCACATACCTACTGGGGAATGACATAGTTGTATATAGGTAAAATAAGTATAAATAAATGCTTTAGAAAGCAAATGTCTTTATTACCAGGAGTTTTTGTAGACCCATGCCATTTTATGAATAAAATTTCATTAATAATTAATTTTTAGAACTATCTAAAGAGCAATATCTGGGTGTTTGTTTTTTTAAAATGAGTATCATATATAGACTTACTAATAATGTGTTTTCTTAAATTTTCTTCTTTGAATTTACATTATAGTGAAACTTATAATTTTATATCTGCCATGGAGTATCTAATTATTTGATGGCTTCTGTTGATTACTGGCATACTAAAAAAAAATATCCCACCACAAAAATGCCATTATTTATTTATTATACTTAATCCACCTATACTAGACCTTATTATATTCATAGAATTTTATCATATAGTATTTATTATAAACATAAATTATCATGATAATTTATTTCTTATCATGCACACTGCATGAATAATTGAGGTATGTTGTAGCAGTGTCCAAAAGTTGATTTAGTTGTTTTCCTATTCCAATTTGAAAGACAAAGAATTTTAGCTCTTGGTTGGTAAATTCTTTTTTTTAAATTTACTTTATTGATTAAAGTATCACATATTTGTCCTCATCTGTCCATTCCCATCCCAAACTCCTCCCCACACATGCCCCCACCTCCTCATTGTCCATGACCACTTATGCACACACATAAGTCTTTTGGTTGATCTCTCTCCCTTTTCCCCACCCTCCTCTTCCTTTCCTCTAAGGTCCAACAGTCTGATCTGATCAATGCTGCTCTTGTTCATCAGTCTATGTTGTTCATCATTTCCCCTAGATGAGTGTGCTCATGTGATAAATTCTTTTTTTTTAATTTTTTAAAGTATGTCTTATTGATTTTTTTAACAGAGAAGATAGGAGAGGGATAGAGAGTTAGAAACATTGATCAGCCACCTCCTGCACACTCCCTACTAGGGATGTGCCCACAATCAAGGTACATGCCCTTGACCAGAATTGAACCTGGGATTCGCAAGCCGATGCTCTATCCACTGAGTCAAACCAGTTAGGGCAATGTGATAAATTCTTAATGTAGCAGTATTTTTCATAATTTATGAAAATAAACCCGTTAAATCTATGCATTTAGAATGTTAAATATATATTATAAACTTATTATAATCATGGTAATGTTGAATATAAATTATTTTAAATTTCTCAAATTATGTATATTTCTAACATGAGGAAACATAGGAAATTATGATAAAATAAATTTAATTTATATAAACATACTTAAAGCATATATTGATGCCTCATGGTTTCCAAGGCAAATAAGAATTTAGTAGATTACTTATATTAAGATGAAACACATATTTTATATTTGCTTTGGAACAGGTGGGCTAATTTTACTTAAATATATAGGCCATTTGATTGAGTCTGCACAAACTTAACATTTATAAAACTTAATGTATCTTCCTTTAATTGCATGACATCTAGAAACCAAGTTTGCAAAAGTATTTCTGGCTATAGGAGAAACTTACACTCCCTCCTTCTCTTCCTTGCTTTCTCCCTTCCTTCTCTCTTTCTTCTTCTCTTCTTTTTTCACCTCCAACCTGTTTTAGTAAATTACCATGAAAAATGATAGAAGTTAAGAAAACATTTCCACTCCTCATGTTAGATAACTATTATCTGTACTTACTGTTTCATATAATCCATAGGGAAGTTGTGAAGAATACCTCGTAATAGCTCTGAGCCTTAATTTTACATGCTGTGTTCTATTCATGATAGTTCTCTTTTATGTATAGAGGACTCTCACCTAGTTATCTAATGTTATGACAAATAAAATAATACTTTAATTATAGAAATTTTAATAGAATAGCTGTGGATAATATAAATACTTGGATATTGA